GGGGAAAGTAATTGTTATGCAAATGAGGCGCTTAATGAGAGCCGGGTGTCGTTGCCCGCCTTCCCGCGGCACCACCGCCGGCAGAGCGCTCCCCCGCACCCGGCGCTGTGCGCGGGCAGCCTCCCGCGCCCGGGCTCGGGCCCGCCGGCTAATTGCTCCTCCCGGCTAATTGCTCCTCCCGGCTAATTACTGCCAGCGACGGGAGAACAGGCGGGGTGTCCCCTAGGGTTCCCCAGCTCGGACAGAGGGCCTGCGGGTCGCGGCAGAAACACGCCAGTGAAGGGGATGCTAATTGGACTCGAATTAATAAATACATGCAGCCCCGATGGGGCGGCTGGGGGTCGGGACCCGGGTGTCGTGTGTGTCGTCCCCCCTCCAGGGGACAGATTCCTTGGGGAAACAGCCCCCCGGGGCAGTAGCTGCCAGCCTGGGTACAGGACAGAGGGTGTCTGTCCCCTAAAAATGGTCCTTCAAGCACAAAAGCTGGAGGCCACCCTGTCCCCTCGCTGCCACCCTGTCCCCTCCCTGCCACCCAGCCCTGGGGGGCACACGGGCATCCTCACTGGGTCCTGCCAGCCCGTCCCCCTCACATTTGGGGGGTGGCAGCCAGCCCCATGTGGCTAGCAGCCCAGCTCCCGTGGCCAGTGAGAGCGGCGCTCCGTCGGGAACCGACCTCTGTCTTGGGGGAGTGCAATCACAAATGCAAATCATTGAAAAAATTAAACCTCGGGAGGAGAGCGAACACCCGGGGCTTGTTTTCATTCTGGTTTAAGCATTTCAGCCCCCAAAACCACCTGGGGGTGTTGGTGGCCAGCTGGCTGAAAAACACCTGGGGCTTGTTTTCATTCCGGTTTAAGCATTTCAGCCCCCAAAAACATCTGGGGGTGTTGGTGGCCAGCTGGCTGAACGTGAGCCAGAAGGATGCCCAGGTGGCCACGAAGGCCACCGGCAACCTGGGCTGTGTCAGGAACAGCCCCTTTTGGAATATGATGTTAGTTTGTTATAATTTACATGCTTGGAAATTAACAGCATCTAGGCTCGAAATTTCTCAGCAAAATTGAGCTTTCTGACATCTGAGATCCCTAAAGAGACTAGGTGTGAGAGAGAGTTTGAAGTATAGTTCACACACACGAGGAAAAGGGTCAACAAAAACATAGGGGGCACAGCAAACAGGTTTAACAGCATTAAAATATCTGTTAATTCTTTGTCACAAAAGACTAGGTGTGGGAAAGAGTTTGAAGTATAGTTCACACGCATGAGGAGAAGAGTCAAATAAAACATAGAAGATGTACAAGGGGGCACAGCAAACAGGGTTAGCAGCATTAAAATATCTGTTAATTCTTTGTCAAAATCATTCGGGGCCTGTTTTCTGGCACTGCCCCTAAGGAAGGGACAGGAGGTGACAGCTGCTCTGCAGCCACCATCTGCCCCAGCCGGCAGCAAGTGGGTGGCTGTGGGTCTCTGAGTGGGGCCGGGTGACCCCAACAGCAATGACACCGCTCCCCGTTCCCCCCGAGCACAGGCTGTGGGGCGAGTGACCGGCGGAAGGGGGGCTTTGGGAAAGGGGTGACAGCGAGAAGGTGTGTCGAGCGTTAGAGTCTCCTGGCTGATGGGTTTTGATCAGAAATGTTCCATCTTCATGTCTTCACCCTCTGCCCCTCCATGTGCCTCCTGGCAGATGGCTTTTGATCAGAAATGTTCCATCTTCACATCTTATCCCTCTGCCCCTCCACGCGCCTCCTGGCAAACCATTTTTCCCAGCGTGGGGCACATCAGGGTGAAACGGGGGACATTGGCTGTCCCTGCACCCTGGGGGAGATGAGCTGGTCATTCTGACCAACATGAGCACAAAACCAACCCAACCCCATGAGGGGAAGAGCCTCCCTTGGAGGGTCTACGTCCTCTTCTTGCCTCCTCCATGTGGGTTAACCCCCAGCAGCTGCCTCGGCCGCAGCCGGAGCCCCCAGAGCCAGCTTGCCCCCGAGTCACTTTGGCACTGGTGACCAGTTTAATTCCCCGGCACGCTTGGCTGAGCATTCCCCACCCCCTTGCAACTGCCTCCTATTCCAGGAAGGAGCGCACGAGCCTTTGCCTCACTTTTCACATAGCTTTCAGCAGCTCCAATGTCATTGCCTAGGCGACCGGGACGCTACTTGATTGTAGGGCAGTAAATAACGTAGATCCTCAATCCCAGGCCGCTCCTGTCCACAGGAAACCTCCGGGGGAACTCGGAACGCTTGGGGAGCCAGAGCAGGTAGGAGGAAAAAAAAAAAAAAACACGAGAGGAAACCCCTTGCTATTTGTGTGTGTGAGTTACTCAGCACGACCTTCTCTGGAGCGCTCGATAACGCGGCTGGAAGGTGGTTTGTGGCTGCTTTGCTCTGTGGGCTGGTTACACAAGGTTAAAGAGTCTTGGAAAGTTTGTTCCCAAGTGCTTTAGATGGAGAGTTCAAGCACTTCTGGAGGAAAAAAGGGCCAAGACTTGAATGGGAAAAGCAGAGTGAGGCTGGGTACCGGTGGGATGCTGGGGCTGGGTACCTGTGGGATGCTGGGGCTGGGTGCTGGTGGGATGCTGGGGATGAGGGTACTGGTGGGATGCTGAGGCTGAGTGCTGGTGGGATGCTGGGGATGAGGGTACCAGTAGGATGCTGAGGCTGGGTACCGGTGGGATGCTGGGGTTGGGTACCAGTGGGATGCTGGGGTTGGGTGCTGGTGGGATGCTGGGGCTGGGTGCTGGTGGGATGCTGAGGCTGGGTGCTGGTAGGATGCTGAGGCTGGGTACCAGTGGGATGCTGGGGCTGGATACCAGTGGGATGCTGAGGCTGGGTATTGGTGGGATGCTGAGACTGGGTACCTGTGGGATGCTGGGGCTGGGTACCAGTGGGATGCTGAGGCTGGATACTGGTGGGATGTTGAGGCTGGGTACTGGCGGGATGCTGAGGCTGGGTACCGGTGGGATGCTGAGGCTGGGTGCTGGTAGGATGCTGGGGCTGGGTACCAGTGGGATGCTGAGGCTGGATACTGGTGGGATGTTGAGGCTGGGTACTGGCGGGATGCTGAGGCTGGGTACCGGTGGGATGCTGAGGCTGGGTGCTGGTGAGATGCTGAGGCTGGGTGCTGATGGGATGCAGAGGCTGGGTGCTGGTGGGATGCTGAGGCTGGGGGATGCTGGGGCTGGGTACCTGTGGGATGCTGGGGCTGGGTGCCCACTGCTGCATCCCTACGCAGGGCTGATGCTGTGCTGCCAGGGAAGGAGGGAGGGAGAGTTGGCTGGTTTAGCCTCCTGCCCCGTCACAAGCTGCCTGTCCGTCAGAGAGGATTTCTGTCCAACCTGCCTGCTCCTTGGAAAGAAAATTGTGAATTGGCTGCTGGAGCCCGAGGAGGGCTCCTGAGATTCAAGTGTGCTGCAGAAAAGCTCGCTTGCTCTCGGTCACTTTTACAAGCCTCGTTTTGCAGGGATGGATTTAATAATGGGGGAGAAATGAACAGTAGCACTGGGCAGCATTGGCACTGTGGGATTTGCCAGCATTTTGCAAATATTAACTTATTTGCTGTGGGCTGGATGAGCCTGATTGTTCTTGTTGTGCAGAGGAGGAGAGAAAGTCCAGGGACCGGTTCACAAGCAGCTTGGTGTGAGAGCTGGAAATGACTCTCAAAAGTCTTCCACTCTCAGGATGGGCCAAGAGTCTTGAGGGATGAGGAATAGTCCTGTTATACAGATTTTGTGCATTAATCTCCCTTTAAGGTGGCTGCAAAATGCCGTCACATTTCACTCTGGGCTGTCAAAGTGGCAGGGTTGGGATGAGTATGTTATTGTCACCTGAAATAGCAAAAGGTATTTTTAAGTGCCTAAAACTGAGGCTTAAGGTTAATGTTGAGATCAAAGATGCTCCTTCCAGAGCGTGCAGAAACTCAGGTGCCAGGCATCACTCTCTGCCCCTCGTTCTGCCCACGGTACCCGTCACCTTCCTTATAGTGGTGAAAGAAGGAAGTGGAATTTGTAATAATTCTAAGAATATATACAGACTGTGGCTAAAACACAAACCGTGGGCTGAATGAAGTACGACTGAATACATGCAAATTCATCTGCTCTGCTTCTCCAGAGGGTTGTTCCCCCATCTCGGGATGGTTACAATGGACCTCGGTGGGTGCTTCTCCTCTCCTTGTGTCCCTGGGGCTGAACCAGCTGCTTCAGCTCAGCTGGGGCTGACCTGGCCTTTTGATGGAGCCGGAGTCACAAACAGTGGGGAAAGACGAAGGACACTGAGTTTTTTCCACACTAATCCTTTGGAAATCACTTTGGTGGCAATTCCCAGGGGAGGTACAGAAGGAACCGGTCCCTGGAGCGACCCTGGGGGTGGCAGCCCCCACCTCAGTGCTAAATTGTCAGTGGGTGAGCTGAGCCCCAGCACAAGCAGAGGTGGTGGATCACCCTCTCACAGGCTTTGTCTCTGTATTCCCGTCCTCTTTTTTCCCCGAGTGTGGTTTCCCTGCAATGCCCTGACCAGCAACAGAGGGAAGCAGCAATCCAGGAACGGCGGAGTCGGCTGGGGAAGTAAAAATGGGCAAAGGACTCCAGCTGCCTTGGCCCTGGTTTGCACGTTTCGGTCTTTCTTCCTCTAGAAGCCCGCAATAAATCCGGTGCACGTCCTGCTGCAGGCTCCCCCAGCCACCCCGGTGACAGCCCCATCCCGCGTGGTCACACCGAGACTCCCCTGTCACCTCCCTGCTGCCTCGAGGCAGAAGGGACAGGGGACCCCTTGCTGCACCGTTCCCTAGGCAAAAAGATCTTAATTAGGTTTAATGAGCAGGTTTGGGTCTCTGGGGGTGTTAAATCCTCCTGGGGGAGGTTTGGCTAGAGAACTCCTTCTGGCAGAAGTCGGGGTGACATCAGGGGTCCTCCCTTCAGTGCTGGGAAGC